ATGTCTACACTGTCCCCTGATTACAAGTTTACACAGTCCCCTGATAACATGTCTAAACAGTCCCTGGATAACATGTCTACACAGTCCTCTGATAACGTGTCTACACAGTCCCCTGATAACATGTCTACACAGTCTCCTGATAACATGTCTACACTGTCCCCTGATAACATGTCTACACTGTCCCCTAAAATTACATGTCTAAACAGTCCCCTGATAACATGTCTACACTGTCCCCTGATAACATGTCTACACAGTCCCTTGGTAACATGGCTACACTGTCCCCTGATAACATGTCTAAACAGTCCCTGGATAACATGTCTACACAGTCCTCTGATAACATGTCTACACAGTCCCTTGGTAACATGTCTACACTGTCCCCTGATAACATGTCTAAACATTCCCCTGATAACATGTCTATCCAGTCCCCTGATAACATGTCTACACAGTCCCCTGATAACATGTCTACACTGTCCCCTGATAACATGTCTACACTGTCCCCTGATAACATGTCTACACTGTACCCTGATTACATGTCTACACTGTCCCCTGATAACATGTCTACACTGTCCCCTGATAACATGTCTACACTGTCCCCTGATAACATGTCTACACTGTCCCCTGATAACATGTCTACACTGTCCCCTGATAACATGTCTACACTGTCCCCTGATAACATGTCTACACTGTCCCCTGATAACATGTCTACACTGTCCCCTGATAACATGTCTACACTGTCCCCTGATAACATGTCTACACTGTCCCCTGATAACATGTCTACACTGTCCCCTGATAACATGTCTACACTGTCCCCTGATAACATGTCTACACTGTCCCCTGATAACATGTCTACACTGTCCCCTGATAACATGTCTACACTGTCCCCTGATAACATGTCTACACTGTCCCCTGATAACATGTCTACACTGTCCCCTGATAACATGTCTACACTGTCCCCTGATAACATGTCTACACTGTCCCCTGATAACATGTCTACACTGTCCCCTGATAACATGTCTACACTGTCCCCTGATAACATGTCTACACTGTCCCCTGATAACATGTCTACACTGTCCCCTGATAACATGTCTACACTGTCCCCTGATAACATGTCTACACTGTCCCCTGATAACATGTCTACACTGTCCCCTGATAACATGTCTACACTGTCCCCTGATAACATGTCTACACTGTCCCCTGATAACATGTCTACACTGTCCCCTGATAACATGTCTACACTGTCCCCTGATAACATGTCTACACTGTCCCCTGATAACATGTCTACACTGTCCCCTGATAACATGTCTACACTGTCCCCTGATAACATGTCTACACTGTCCCCTGATAACATGTCTACACTGTCCCCTGATAACATGTCTACACTGTCCCCTGATAACATGTCTACACTGTCCCCTGATAACATGTCTACACTGTCCCCTGATAACATGTCTACACTGTCCCCTGATAACATGTCTACACTGTCCCCTGATAACATGTCTACACTGTCCCCTGATAACATGTCTACACTGTCCCCTGATAACATGTCTACACTGTCCCCTGATAACATGTCTACACTGTCCCCTGATAACATGTCTACACTGTCCCCTGATAACATGTCTACACTGTCCCCTGATAACATGTCTACACTGTCCCCTGATAACATGTCTACACTGTCCCCTGATAACATGTCTACACTGTCCCCTGATAACATGTCTACACTGTCCCCTGATAACATGTCTACACTGTCCCCTGATAACATGTCTACACTGTCCCCTGATAACATGTCTACACTGTCCCCTGATAACATGTCTACACTGTCCCCTGATAACATGTCTACACTGTCCCCTGATAACATGTCTACACTGTCCCCTGATAACATGTCTACACTGTCCCCTGATAACATGTCTACACTGTCCCCTGATAACATGTCTACACTGTCCCCTGATAACATGTCTACACTGTCCCCTGATAACATGTCTACACTGTCCCCTGATAACATGTCTACACTGTCCCCTGATAACATGTCTACACTGTCCCCTGATAACATGTCTACACTGTCCCCTGATAACATGTCTACACTGTCCCCTGATAACATGTCTACACTGTCCCCTGATAACATGTCTACACTGTCCCCTGATAACATGTCTACACTGTCCCCTGATAACATGTCTACACTGTCCCCTGATAACATGTCTACACTGTCCCCTGATAACATGTCTACACTGTCCCCTGATAACATGTCTACACTGTCCCCTGATAACATGTCTACACTGTCCCCTGATAACATGTCTACACTGTCCCCTGATAACATGTCTACACTGTCCCCTGATAACATGTCTACACTGTCCCCTGATAACATGTCTACACTGTCCCCTGATAACATGTCTACACTGTCCCCTGATAACATGTCTACACTGTCCCCTGATAACATGTCTACACTGTCCCCTGATAACATGTCTACACTGTCCCCTGATAACATGTCTACACTGTCCCCTGATAACATGTCTACACTGTCCCCTGATAACATGTCTACACTGTCCCCTGATAACATGTCTACACTGTCCCCTGATAACATGTCTACACTGTCCCCTGATAACATGTCTACACTGTCCCCTGATAACATGTCTACACTGTCCCCTGATAACATGTCTACACTGTCCCCTGATAACATGTCTACACTGTCCCCTGATAACATGTCTACACTGTCCCCTGATAACATGTCTACACTGTCCCCTGATAACATGTCTACACTGTCCCCTGATAACATGTCTACACTGTCCCCTGATAACATGTCTACACTGTCCCCTGATAACATGTCTACACTGTCCCCTGATAACATGTCTACACTGTCCCCTGATAACATGTCTACACTGTCCCCTGATAACATGTCTACACTGTCCCCTGATAACATGTCTACACTGTCCCCTGATAACATGTCTACACTGTCCCCTGATAACATGTCTACACTGTCCCCTGATAACATGTCTACACTGTCCCCTGATAACATGTCTACACTGTCCCCTGATAACATGTCTACACTGTCCCCTGATAACATGTCTACACTGTCCCCTGATAACATGTCTACACTGTCCCCTGATAACATGTCTACACTGTCCCCTGATAACATGTCTACACTGTCCCCTGATAACATGTCTACACTGTCCCCTGATAACATGTCTACACTGTCCCCTGATAACATGTCTACACTGTCCCCTGATAACATGTCTACACTGTCCCCTGATAACATGTCTACACTGTCCCCTGATAACATGTCTACACTGTCCCCTGATAACATGTCTACACTGTCCCCTGATAACATGTCTACACTGTCCCCTGATAACATGTCTACACTGTCCCCTGATAACATGTCTACACTGTCCCCTGATAACATGTCTACACTGTCCCCTGATAACATGTCTACACTGTCCCCTGATAACATGTCTACACTGTCCCCTGATAACATGTCTACACTGTCCCCTGATAACATGTCTACACTGTCCCCTGATAACATGTCTACACTGTCCCCTGATAACATGTCTACACTGTCCCCTGATAACATGTCTACACTGTCCCCTGATAACATGTCTACACTGTCCCCTGATAACATGTCTACACTGTCCCCTGATAACATGTCTACACTGTCCCCTGATAACATGTCTACACTGTCCCCTGATAACATGTCTACACTGTCCCCTGATAACATGTCTACACTGTCCCCTGATAACATGTCTACACTGTCCCCTGATAACATGTCTACACTGTCCCCTGATAACATGTCTACACTGTCCCCTGATAACATGTCTACACTGTCCCCTGATAACATGTCTACACTGTCCCCTGATAACATGTCTACACTGTCCCCTGATAACATGTCTACACTGTCCCCTGATAACATGTCTACACTGTCCCCTGATAACATGTCTACACTGTCCCCTGATAACATGTCTACACTGTCCCCTGATAACATGTCTACACTGTCCCCTGATAACATGTCTACACTGTCCCCTGATAACATGTCTACACTGTCCCCTGATAACATGTCTACACTGTCCCCTGATAACATGTCTACACTGTCCCCTGATAACATGTCTACACTGTCCCCTGATAACATGTCTACACTGTCCCCTGATAACATGTCTACACTGTCCCCTGATAACATGTCTACACTGTCCCCTGATAACATGTCTACACTGTCCCCTGATAACATGTCTACACTGTCCCCTGATAACATGTCTACACTGTCCCCTGATAACATGTCTACACTGTCCCCTGATAACATGTCTACACTGTCCCCTGATAACATGTCTACACTGTCCCCTGATAACATGTCTACACTGTCCCCTGATAACATGTCTACACTGTCCCCTGATAACATGTCTACACTGTCCCCTGATAACATGTCTACACTGTCCCCTGATAACATGTCTACACTGTCCCCTGATAACATGTCTACACTGTCCCCTGATAACATGTCTACACTGTCCCCTGATAACATGTCTACACTGTCCCCTGATAACATGTCTACACTGTCCCCTGATAACATGTCTACACTGTCCCCTGATAACATGTCTACACTGTCCCCTGATAACATGTCTACACTGTCCCCTGATAACATGTCTACACTGTCCCCTGATAACATGTCTACACTGTCCCCTGATAACATGTCTACACTGTCCCCTGATAACATGTCTACACTGTCCCCTGATAACATGTCTACACTGTCCCCTGATAACATGTCTACACTGTCCCCTGATAACATGTCTACCCAGTACCCTGATAACATGTCTACACTGTCCCCTGATAACATGTCTACCCAGTACCCTGATTACATGTTTACATAGTCCCATGATGACTTGTCAGTACAGTGCTCCTATCACGATAACTGTCTAGCATTTTGGACGTTTTTGTTTTCTCCTGCAAATTTCAGCATTCTATTCTGAATCTGACAAGTCAACCTTTGTATATCTTGCTGCTCTTAATATGACGAGAAATCAAACACTTACTTGGAACAACTGTCAGTTTGATCTGCTTCAACACCTTATCTTTATAACTGCAAAGAAAACAATCTCACATTCAACAACGCTCTGTAAAAGCCATCAATACAACCCAATATCGAGTAGAGAAGTGGATTCTCCCACAATGTCAATGAAATATAACAGGTTGTGGTATTTGTATTGATATTGATGTGTATTAGCTCGGAACAAGGCAAATATCGCTTTTACTGTGTAGGTAACGCAGTTATGATGTCATTTATCAATAATATAATAGGTGGTTAAAATATTAAAAGAATTATAATTAATTTATTACATGTTGACTAGTGAAATATCAAAAATTATCCACTTTTTATTTCACGACAGTGAAATATACGTAAGGTTATAACTTCATATTTGAAGATATCACTTAGTTTTGTCAAATCAGAACGGTTCTTTCTTTTTCACTTCGTAAATTTTCAGTTAAACTTCAGATAACGCGACGGCAGATAGGTTCTGTTTGGGCACCGTATCAAGCAAAAGATATTGATAGAGTGGAAGCCGTGCAGCGCAGAGCAACTAGGAGTTTACCGGGAATGAAAAACTCAACATACCAAGAAAGACTACAAAAGCTGGAACTCCCAACACTATCATACAGAAGGGCTAGAGGGGATATGATTGAACTATATAAGATAATAAGCGGAATATNGGAATTCAAAAATGATCTTCCCGCAACAATTCAAAACTACACTAAGGAAAAACAGCTTTGGTATTAGAACTGTAAAAATGTGGAACGGTCTTCCCGAGGACGTTGTATCGGCACCTAATATAAACACTTTCAAGAATAGACTGGACAAAATATGGAAAAATCAGGAAATACTTTATAATTATAAGGCAACCATAGATGGAAGTGAACTCTAATATTTAAACATGAGAACATATTACATGTATAATAGAGTCCGGTGTAGAGGAACATATTGTTCCTGTACTGGAAAATAACTATAACTATAACTAACTATAACTATAGGTGTGTGTGTTTGTATTTGTTTGCTACATCTTTAAAACATACATTATGGTATCTACATAATACACATTTTATATAATCTTTTGTTTAGACATCTTACCAGATAACAGCAGCAAGCAAAAGAATTGCGTTGAGTAACACGTTTATATTGACGCTCTGCGTTGTTGTCAAGCGTGACGTCGCAAGATAACTTGAAATATTTTTTAGAAGAAGTTAATATATGGGGGATATCTATTTTTGCTGAAAATATGTCACATCATCTATAAAATAGCATTCAGCATAATAATCATATTTTATTTTATTTACCTGAGTATATCCCTTGTGTAGTCGTCGTAATACAGAGAATCGTCCCAGCCGTACTTTACCCAGTTCCTACATGAAACAGATTTTGGCTTCCCACAGAATAAAGAGATGTTATAATTCTCGTGTGTTAAATCACAGAATCCTCCGTATGTTTTCTTCAACCAATCAGACATTGTTGGTGCACATTGTGTCATTTCACTTTTCTTCTTCTCCGAGAATGTGGCATTTATAAACTTATAAGAACCATGAACATTCACGTAATTTGTATATAAACCGATCCCCTCCTTTGTGTTGGTGACGGACACTTTCACACATAAATTTCCCGCCCAAAACGCCATCACGTGACCTGTATAGGTCCCGTTCATATGATCAACTACATAACCAGCCACAGAAGAACTTCCGTCCGTATTTCTCAGCCAGATGTTGAGCAAGTCGCCTCCCTGAGTCAGAGACTGGTTGTAACCATTATAGAGGTGTACTCTCACTCTGAGTTCTGTACCTGCTGTGAATGTCTTTGTTTTCCTGTCCACCTCTAGCTCAACCACACAAAACCGAGGATCATAAAGTTCTCCGAAATCAGCAACTTGCTGTATCTGACGATATTCGGAATAACGATCCAGGATGTTTCTGGAAATTGCCGCCATTGGCGTTTTTAATGCTGTCTTGATGACATTCGTGTGTTGAAAATGTATTTTTTTGGTTTTCACAGACGAAACAAAAGTATTTGCAGTGCTAGTTCTTCTTTCGGGAATATGTTTTCTTCGCGAGATCGCTGAAGCATTGTGCCTGTCGAAGTAAAAATAAATATATAAATAAATAAACGCCTTTAAATGAACAATGGCAATGCATACGTGATGTGTTTATTTTGTATTATTCGAATTCCTTACGACAAAATGAGATATACAAAGAGCTACTAAAAAGTACGCCGGAACAGTGACTGTAAATCCGTGCAGCAGTGCAGTTTACGTACTTGATCTTGTATTACCAACCACGCCCTTTTTTGCTATGAAATATACTTCCTCTTGCAAGATACTTTTTTTTGCATGAAAAGTTAGTGTTGTTTATTCTTATCGGAATAAAAAGAGGATAATAATTCTAAAACAGCAGAGATAAAGTAGAAAACAATAAGACTGGGCAATATATTCCTATCGCCAATATTCGATCAATCAGAATCAGTCACTTCAAAAAGCGATTTACCTTTAAACTAAGAACACAATGTGAAATTATTTCAAAGAATTTGAGGAGAGATAGAGGGAAAGAGTGTGTATTTAATGGATGTGTTCATACAGACTTTCTACTAGTTTACATGACCTACTTGTGACCTTGACCTTACCCGGGGTTGTCGTTAGTCGCTAGCTGTCTGATGTTAGTGAAGAGGTGTTCATTTCCGACAGTCAAATACTGTATCCTGGAAGAGGAACGTTAACATTGTTTACTCCCGACACTGAACAAATGCGTTATACATAAATATCGTAAAATACAGTCTCTTCTTATCCCAGCTTTATTGAACCATTGAAGTCTAGGTCAAACAGATGTCTTGACCAATACAGTGGAATTTATATTCACAAAACAGAAAAGATTATTTCTTCTAATATTGATGTTTATAATAAAGATTAATGCACTGCTGTTCAAGTTACAATCCCTTTTGACTCAGAGTTGCTTTTTAACTGGGGATGTTTTCTGTTTTGTATATATTGAAGGCGAGTAAACGAAATGGTTGTTTTTTCTTACCAAAATTGACTTGTCAATGTTTGTTTCAACGTTAAAGGAATGAGGACGCTCTTAATGCTCATGTTTTGCAATTATAAATCATGCTTCGCAATACTGGTCAATGACAATTAAATTGACTGTTAAACGTTTCTGATTTTGACGCCTAATCCTTTTTTTGCTATTTTCGACCATCAGTTAAGTCATAAACAAACATTCACCAAAGAACCTCGGTACATCATTCCATACAAACATTACCTATATTACCTGTCTGTACTGATTGTACTTACCTGTATACATATACAAACATTCACAAAAACACGTCGGTACATCATTCCATGCACACACTACCTACATTACCTGTCTGTACTTACCTGTATACATATACAAACATTCACCAAAGAACCTCGGTACATCATTCCATACAAACATTACCTACATTTTGTCTGTACTGACTGTACTTACCTGTATGCACATACACACATTCACCAAAACACGTCGGTACATAATACCTTACAAATATTACCTACATTTCCTGTCTGTACTGACTGTACTTACCTGTATACATATACAAACATTCAGAAAAGAATCTTGGTTCATAATTCCAAACAAACATTACCTACATAACCTGTCTATACTAACTGTACTTACCTGTATACATATACAAACATTCACCAAAGAATCGTGGTTCATAATTCCATACAAACATTACCTACGTTACGTTTCTGTACTTAAAGTTACCTACCCACTACAGGTACCAAGAATAACCTGAAAACTAGTTTAAATGGAGATAATTCAGAATACCTACATCATGAGGACAATCACGATGATTACAAGTACTACAAACACTTTGATTGTTGGTCTCTGAAACATGGCGTCACTAACATCCAAAAAGTCTGTTTTCTAGTCAGTCGATCTACCGTAGATTTTATACAGGTCCCATCTCAGTTCCAATTACGGGTAACTAACTCCAGCTGCGATACCTCCCAAGATTACGTCTTCGATTTCACTTTGGCTGCGGTTATGACTGAAAAAGGACATATCAGACTTTTTAACATTAAAGATATAGGTCTTGTAGTTTCTGGAAAGTTTTAGATTATCGAAGAATTTTGATTATGTGTTGTCTGGAGAATCCACAATCATGAGAAAACACTTGGCGAAGGAAAATCACAATCAAACAAAGCCGGTTGATTATTACGTATGTAACAGGGTGTACTCGATGCACTTGGTCAGCAGGTTTACTTCTATGTGTTGTCTTTCGTACCCGTTTTTCGTAACGAATACGTGTAAGGTCGAGCGAATGCGATTGCACGAGTATTTCCAATACTCACGCCACCCTGGGTGTCGTATATACACACGCACCCGTAACCTTCCCACCTCACTCTGCACTGTGCTCCGTCGGAGCAGGACGGACCTTTCCAGCCCTCTGGTAAGTCATTATCATTGTAGTAGAAATATGTAAATGTACATTAGCACAGTGCAATATAATGCAATATAATATACTATAATATGATACTATATCTGTATAATAACGTCGAAGCTTATAAAGCGAAAGTAGAACTAAATAGTGTAGATAGACACCGTTCCGCATTTATTGTAAACGTTTGTTTCGTACTTAGTTCGACCCATATATTTTAATACTAATATATTGTATTTTAGGTTTATATACTGGACATGTAATAAACCAATGAACCCAAATCTTGTGCCCGTTATAACTGAAGAGTGAAGCGACTTTACAATGGTGCCCAACGTGGAACCTGATATTCTGAAATATTAACTAGCAGCAAGGGGTTTTCCTTGCGAAAGCATGTAGATATAATTGAGAATTTTGGCCACAGTTTGGAATTTCATTGTAGAGCAAGAGCTCGTTTGGATCAAAGTTATTTTTGGCTTGTTAGACATTTACCTGGGATAATTGAAAGAAATGGTTCTATCATATTATATATTTGGATTGCGCCATAACACTGATGATGAATTTTCTGTCTATGTAAAAAATAGTATTGACAAATTTGTTTCATTTGTATCCAAATTCCCTACTCTTAAACTTATTTTCTTGGAAATTCCTCCATATTCAATTAGGATTTTGAATTGTTCTAAGGGACATGTGAATCCCGAGTCTTTTGTATAACAGGATTTGGCACTGGAGAGCAGGATTGAGATCCTCAATCAGTATATAAGGGAAATGAATTCCAGGTCTAGTGTACACTCACTGAACTTTCGGTGCGATTTGCTCTTATACAAGGGGGCAGCAACTGTTAACTTCTCCCTTTATAAGGACGGCATACATCCAAACCCTCTCTTAGCTAGAGTTTGGATGAAGCGACTTGTTACCAAAGTGTTTAATGACTGTATATAGTTTTGTATAGCTGTGGGTGTGTCTGTTATTGTACACTGGTAGGTAGGGGTCTCCCCACCCACAGTGTATTTAGTAAACACCCACTGTATTTTTCTCTTATTCCTGATTTTATTGTATGTATAAACACTTTGGTAGTCGCTATACCTGATTTAAAGGTGATTATTTTTGTTAGTTCAGGTGTTAATTTCATTATCAATATGGCAGAAGGGGGAGCAGCATCCAAAGATATAAAGGAGGAGACAACTGAAGTTGAACTATCTATGTCTGAGGATGAGCTACTGGAAGCTTTAGAGAAATTTGGAAAATACAGGATAATTCCTGTTGAGGAGGAGTTACCTCCCATCCCTAAAGCTGCCAGTACACAAAAACAATTTCGGTTTGTGGGTACTAGTCAATCCCAGCCTCCAGACAACTACAATAGAACCACTAGTATGTACGGCTCATCAGCATACATCCCTAAGGTGCCCCAATTTTCACGGGAAGATCCACCTTAAAAGGGAGATGTATCGTATGCAGAATGGAGATTCGAGATCCGGTGTCTTCGCAGAGATACAGAAGTCTCTCAAAGTACCCTCGTGCAAGCCATTAGAAGGTCACTTCGTGACGTAGTGAGGAGAATGTTGATTCCTCTAGGGGAAAGAGCTACACCTGGAGATGTTTTAAGCAAGTTAGATTCATTGTTTGGGGATAGCTCGACGCATGGCATGGTAATGCAGGAGGGTTTTTTAACTCGTCGCAGAAACCCAATGAATCGGCCACTACATTTGGTTGTCGACTTGAATCCTTACTGCAAACAGCCGTTGAGAATGGTTCCATGCTTAAATCAGCTAACAATGATTTGATGCGACACAAGTTTTAGACTTCCATGAGTTCTGACAAACTTAAAAGTCAAACTCGTCATAAGAATGACACCATAACCAGCTTTGATGAGCTGTTAAGGGAAATCCGGATAGTAGAGAAAGACCTACACATCTCTACTACCAACACTAATACAGGGCAAAAAGAAAGTAAAAAGGGACACCAGCATGTAGTCACTGCTGAATCTGACCAGCAGTTTATTTCTTCAGACAATTTAGAGAAAAAGTTTGATAAGAAACTGAATGATTTTGAGGGAGGAAAAACTTAGTTCTCAGATAGAGAGCAAGATCTTGAACAAACGTCAGTTTTGGGGATTTAGCGAATACTATCGGCGGTTTGTAAAAGACTATGCCAAAATAGTCAAACCACTTAACCTACTTCTACAGGGTCTTTTTCGGACTCTGATGTTGTCAAGGCAGTATGCCAGTCAGCAACTGGTGTAGCTACACTGATTGACAGTATAGCTAATCAGGATGAGAAAGGTTAGCATTTGGCCAGTGATGAGGTACTCTCAGACGATAGCTTGAGCACAATAGATTGGCAAAAACAACATCAGGTAGATAAAGAGATTGCCATGTTTATAGACCTCAAGAGAACCGGTTTTCGTCCCAGAGGGACAAACCTTAAGGATGAGTCCCCATATGTGTAGAAAATCATGAGGAATTGGAACAGATTTTGTCTACATGATGGTGTACTCTACAGAACCGCTTCTCTAGACGGTCATCAGGTAAAACAACTTGTGCTACCAAAGCAATATCATGCATTAGCCCTAAAGGGGGTCCATGATGACGTAGGTCATCAAGGTAAGGAGACATCTCTTTGGTTAGCTAGACAGAGGTTTTACTTGCCAGGTCTGGAAAAGGAGGTAGACAATAGAGTTGGAAACTGTGGACGGTGCATAAGACGAAAAACCCCAGTGAAGCCTCAGGCTGAACTGGTACCAATCCATTCCACGAGACCCATGGAGTTAGTTTGTATTGACATTCTCGCATTGGAACCGTCCAATGGTGGTTGGGAGAATATTCTGGTTATCACTGATCACTTTACCAGGTATGCCCAGACGGTGACTTGTCGAAACCAGACGGCACACACAACTGCTAAGGTTCAATATGAACATTACATAGCCTATTTCAGCTTTCCTGAGCGTCTCCATAGTGATCAGGGTAGAAACTTTGAAAGCAAAGTTATAAAGGAGCTCTGTAAGATAGCAGGAGTTCAAAAGACCAGAACCACATCCTACTATCCTATGGGAAATGGGTCGGCGGAAAGATTTAACCGCACTCTCCTGGGTATGCTTGCTACCCCCGAGGAGCACCAAAAAGCGGATTGGAAGTCTTATGTCGCTCCACCGGATTCTCCCCACATAACAGACCCTTGTCAACAAGGGGCGGCAGATAAGACCTCGTACGTCAGCAAACTCAGGGATATGATGAAATATGCCTATAAGGTTGCTGGCACTGAGGCTACTAAAGTCGCTTTGCGCAACAAAAATCGCTACGACAGGTCAGTCCGTGAGACGAAACGTGTTGTTGCGTGCTGATTGGCAAACAAAGTTAGATTTGAAATTGTTTCGATTTTCCCCCGGAACAAATTTCGCGCATGGATAAATACAGTGAACACCGTAAATCCGACCTTGCCCTCCACGAGGAAGTTATTTTTGGAAGTAAATTCGAACTTGTCTCTTTGCTCATTATGTGAAGAATCCAGACGTGATTTTATTTGTTGATTGTATGGGAATCTGATTACAGTCGGTAGATTCTATAACAGCCTCATTATTCGACATAAACTGAGGAAACCGTGGCTGCGACACGCGTGAAACTGATAGCGTTTGAAGTGAGTGATCTTGCAATGGAGCACAGGGGTTCGTTACAAATGTCTGAAATGTTTATGTGCTGTGACTCATATCAGTAGGTCTGTAACATATGTGTCAGTAGGTCTATAGAATATGTGTATTTCAGTCATTTGTAACGATCAGTGCAGCGTCACAGACGATATTTCTGATAAATTGCATGAGCGTTAAATTGTTTCCATTGGGAGGAGTTCCGAACGTACTAGCTAAGGCACGTTTACATCGGTGCTCAATACTTTTGTGCCATAACTGACGCATATTGTGGATATATGTGAATTATAAAGGAAAATATCAAACTTTTCAAACAAACCAACAAGCAAGTGACATTTGTTGTGTTGTTAAAAATGCCAGAAGCAAATAAAGACGTGGTGGAAAATTTGAACCAAGGTGACCCAGCAGGTCAGGGCAAAATGGCGCCAGGTACAATCAATGTAAATAGTGAACCCCCAGTAGTGTTTTTCCAGGAAAGGTCTTTTTCTTGGAGAACACTGGCCAAATCCAAATGAGTACATCAAACACGCTGAGATAATTGCGGCCATTGGGGAAGTTACAGATAGCTCCCACATAACTGGACTGCAGCGCGTCCGAGGTTTGTGGCGTATTTATTTAGACAATTTGGACGACAAGGTCACACTAATGGCGGGTGGGTTCCCATTCCGCGGTTACACAATGGGTATACTAAAAACAAACCCAAACCGGCTCGACGGAGAGGACACCGTTAGACTAAGAATAAAAGGCATTCCCTTATCAGCGGATGATGGTCAAATTGACAGGTTTTTTGTAAAAAAACAAGGCTGAAACGATCGGCAATATTACACGTGAGAAACTGAGAATTAATGAAAAACTCACCAACTGTGAAACGGGAGACCGCTTTGTTATTCTAAAATCCAATTCGATACACAGTCACGTTCCTCGTGTACTACAGATTGGGAAAAATAGGGCCAGAGTATTCTATAGAGGACAA